ATCATGAGTCACTGGGTAGAGGTTGCCAACAAGTGGACCTGTAAATCTACTGATAACTAGCCATTCAGTTGTGAGATTAAATTTCATTCTCCGCATTTTGATTCATCCTAAATCTCTCAAATGAATTTTAAGGAGCTCCTCATTTTGGTTTTTGGGAGAGCAGACCTTTCCACTTTCTCAGAGGCCATTGTCCTTTTCCTCTCTGTTTTTCTTTATGCCCTGACTAAGGAAGGAGGCAATTAGTGGTACCAGAGCCCACACTGCCACCTCCTCTACAGCTCCAAGAGCTAGGCACTGGAATCTGGACTACAGTGTGTCCCTTAGCATGCAGAGATTACAATTCTCATCATTTTCTTGATGATAGATAGCCAATCTGTGAGAGGTGCAATAAAATCTCAATTGGAAGAGAAGTCAGAGTAATAAACTTCAGTAGAGCCAGAGAGGCTCTTCTGAGGTCCTCTATTTGTATTCTGAGTCCCATCCATAATGGATTGATTTTATATTGTTACTATTATTTGCTATTGTTATTGTTTTATTAGCATATAGTAACAGTATAAGGGGTTTCATTATGATATTTCTGTACATGCATGTAAGTTACTTTGATCAAATTCATCCCCATTACTCTTTTCAATACTCCACTGCTTTTTAAACAATTTTTTTTGGGTCCGGTCAGGGGGCCTGAACTCTGGTCCTGGGTGCTGTCCCTCAGCTCTTCAGCTTAAGGCTAGCGCTCTACCACTTGAGCCACAGCGCCACTTCTGGCTTTTTTCTTTTTTGTTTATGTGGTGCTGAGGAATGGAACCCAGGGCCTCAGGCATGCAAGGCAAGCACTCTACCACTGAGCCACCTTCCCAGCCCCTTTTTAAACAATTTTAACAGATATTTTTACTCTCTATATATGTATAAAGGTTGCATAAATGTGTATAAAGTTCTTTAATAATGTTTGTCCACCACCCTGCTTTTTGAACTTCTCCGTTCTGGTTTCCATCTCAAAACTGTCCCCCATTTTACACTCCTGTCATTCATTTTTTTGAAGGCCTAGATTCCACATACAAGATAGAATACGTCTTTCTCAGTCTGATTTCACTTAACATAATATTTTCTAGTGCCATTCATTATTCTGAAGATGACATAGTCTCATTCTTCTTTATGTCTGAGATTTTTCCATTTTGTGTACATATATCACATTCTTTCTATCCTTTCATTGGTTGATGGGTACCTGGACTGATCTCACAGTTTGACTATTGTTAACAGTGCTGTTCTATACATGATGATGTATATGCTCAATTATATTCCTTTAGCTCTATGTCCAGGTACAATATATAGGATCATATGATAATTCCATTTTTGGTGTTGAGGAACAACTATATTACTTTCCATAATACCTGCACTAATTTCCATTCCACACAAAGTGTTATAAGGGTCTCTTTCTCCCTGGTTCCTTGCTATTTGTTTTCCTTCCTTCCTTTCTTTCTTCCTTTCCTTCCTTCCTTCCTTTCTCTCTCTCCTTCCCTCCTTCCCTTCCTCCCTCCCCCCTTTCTCTCCCTCCCCCCTTCCTTTCTTTCTTCCTTCCTTCCCTTCCTCCCTCCCCCTCTCTCTCCCTCCCCCCTTCCTTCCTTTCTTTCTTCCTTCCTTCCTTCCTTTCTTTCTTGCTTCCTTCCTTCCTTCCTTCCTTCCTTTCTTTCTTTCTTTCTTTCTTTCTTTCTTTCTTTCTTTCTTTCTTTCTTTCTTTCTTTCTTTCTTTCTTTCTTTCTTTCTTTCTTTCTTTCTTTCTTTCTTTCTTTCTTTCTTTCTCCTGGGATTTGAACTCAGGGCCTGAGCACTGTCCCTGAGCTTCTTTTGCTCAAGGCTAGCACTCTACCACTTGAGCCACAGCGCCACTTCTGGCTTTTTCTGTTTATGTGGTGCTGAGGAATCGAACCCAGGGCCTCATGCATGCAAGACAAGCGCTCTACCACTAAGCCACATTCCCAGCCTTGCTGTTTGTTTTCTTGACAATAGTCACTCTGTCAGGGGTGATATGGAATCTTAATGCTGCCTTGATTTGCATTTCCTTATGGCTAAGGATTTTGAATATTTCTTCAGGTATCAATCATTTGTATTTCATCTTTAGACAAATGTCTTTTCAATTTATTTGCCCTCTTATTGATTAGGTTATTTTGTGGTGTTTAATTTTTGGAGCTTTTCAGGTAGTATGGATATGAATCCTTTACCCAATGAATAACTCTTTTTTTTCTTTTTCTTTTGCCGGTCGTGGGGCCTGAACTCTGGGCCTGGGTGCTGTCCCTCAACTCTTCAGCTCAAGGCTAGCACACTACTACTGGAGCCACATCACCACTTCCGGCTTTTTCTGCTTATGTGGTGCTGAGGAATACAATCCAGGGCCTCATGCATGCAAGGAAAGCACTCTACCTTTGAGCCACCTTCCCTGCCCCCAGTGAATAGCTCTCCAATTTTGTAGGCTGTCTTCTTCTTCTTCTTCATTTTTTAAGTTGAATCTTCTTACATCTCTTTTAAATAATTTATTGTAAAAGATCAGAAAGTCCCACCACCAACACTTCACCAGGACACTTTTCAGTCTGGAGCCATGATTCTCCCAATATCAGCCTCACATGGAGTTTAGGTTAACAGGTACATGCCACTGCACCAACTATGGGTTGAGTAGGGGGTCTCATGAATTCTTTTCAAAAATTTTACTGTAAAGATGATATACAGAGGGGTTACAGTTACATACAGTTATGTAAGTCAGTGTCTTCTTATTTGGGTAATTGTTTGCTTTGCTGTGCATAAGACCTCTAACTCTCTGCAATCCTATTCGTCAGTTCTTGCTCTTATTTTCTAGTGGAGTCCTGTTCTGAAAAGACTAACTATGTCTGTATCTTCAGGGGGTTTCCCATAGCAATTTCAAAGTGTCCTATAATCATATCTATGGATTTTAGAATAGATGCAATATGTGTTCTGGTCGCCAAGTGATATAATCATCCCTCTTCATTTAGCCTAGATATGGTTACCTAAAATTTTCCACTACAAAACCCAAAGATACTATTAATTGATCAGAGTTGGCTTGGAAGTTGTAATTAAATTGCCATAAATATAAAATTAAGGAACAAGATCAAGTCATGTAGTGTATCTTCCCTTCAGTTTTTTTTTTTTGCCTTAGGTCTAGATTATAGTGGCAAAATAAAATGGATTGAAAAGTTTTTTTGTGTTGTTGGTGCCAGTCCTGGAGCTTGAACTCAGGGCCTGTGTGCTGTCCTTGGGATTTGTTGCTCAAAGCTAGCACTTTACCACTTGAACAATAACTCCATTTCAGTCTTTTTAGTGGTTGTTGGGAGATAAGGGTCTCAAGGACTTCCCTACCCAGGTTGGCTCCCAATTGTGATATTCAGATCTCATCCTCTTGAGTAGTTGGATTACAGGTGTGAACCATTAGCACATGGCATTAACATTTTAAAATTTTATTTTAATCAACAAAGAATAACCATATATACACTACTAGGATACAATGTGATGCTTCTATACACGTGCATTTGTGTTGTAATCATTTCAGGAGAATAACTATCAAATGCCATTTCTTTGTGATGAGAACATTTAAAGTTTTTTAGCTACTCAAGAATACACAATGTATTTTAATTAACTGTAGCTACCAAGCTATGTAGTAGATCACTAGAACCTTATCCTACAATTTAAAACTTAAAGATCATCTATCTGCTTCTAGTCTAAAATACCATGCAAGATTAATTTGATTAACTTAGTCACTTCCACATATCAAAATACAAACACAAAGAAGGATCCACTGCATAGATGTCTCATCTGACAGCTTTGCTGCTAATGTAACTCATTCTTTCCCTAAATTGAGGGTTTCTTTCATATCAGACACTGGTCCAAGAGATTTTTACTAGTAATTCACATGCCTCCATTTTTGTCCCTGCCATAACAGAGCATAGGAAAGATTTCTGATCATGTGAAATAAGTTTCTTTTTTTCTGGAGAGAGGGGAGGGGGCTGGGAAGGTAGCTCAGTGGTAGAGTGCTTGCCTTGCATGCATGAGGCCCTGGGTTTGATTCCTCAGCACCACATAAACAGAAAAAGCCGGAAGTGGTGCTGTGGCTTAAGTGGTAGACTGCTAGCCTTGAGCTGAAGAGCTGAGGGACAGCGTCCAGGCCCAGAGTTCAAGCCCCACGACCAACCAAAAGACAGAGAGAGAGAGAGAGAGAGAGAGAGAGAGAGAGAGAGAAAGAGAGAGAGAGAGAGATTAAAGAGGCAGCACAGACACAAGCATCTGTGAATAAAAGCCCAGGAGAACATACGGGAGTGAATTCACCTTAAGTATCAGAAGAGAAAGATTTACTTTGATCAAAATACATTGTATCCACAAACTGACATATTGTATTGAAATCTATTTGTACAACAAGAAAATAAAAAGTTAAAAAGATGCAAACATGTAAAAGCATTCAACAGTCTTGCAATATAGTCAGTTAGGTGATTGCTGTTGTATGTGGAGAATCTACAACTCTAGATCCTGGCTATTATAAGAATTTAGTATAGAGACCATAGTTTTATCATGGCAGTTGAAGACTCTTAGTTAGACTGGGAGGATGGATGCACACACACACACACACACACACACACACACACACACACACACACACACACACACACATCCAGCAATTTTTTGACTGCTCCGACTAGAATAGAATGGTTGTGCCTTCATAAATAACTTTCTACCTATGTAAATTTCTGTGTGGATATGTACACAATTTCTTGGGTAATTCAAATGTCCATATTTGGATAATGCTTTGGAGAAGTGCAGAAGAACCAAATAAATATGGAATGAATGAAGGGAACATGATTTTCTGAAATGGGGAGATCAGATGCAGGTGGATCTGTCCAAATAGCACAGACACCAAGGCATTGGATGACAGAGACTGCAGTGCAGAAAACCACAAAGCAGAGGAGATAAGAGGCCCTTCTCTACAACAGACTTGTATCTCCTTGCTATCAGGGTCCATGGATTTTATTAGCCTTTGTAGAAGAACACCTGTCAATTTGATATTTAATCTTGTTTATCACTTTCTCTAAGCCCCGTTTCATGTCTTTGTTTCTTAAACTGTAGATAAATGGATTCAACATCGATGTCAATACAGTGTAGTTGATTGTTGCGATTCGGTCTTTGACAGTATAGCTGGACAAGGGCTGAAAATAGACATAGCTAATACTCCCATAAAACAAAGTTACTATGGTGAGATGGGAGCTGCAGGTAGAGAAGGCTTTGCGTTTTCCAGAAGCTGAGGGAATCCTGAGAACAGCAATGAAGATTCTCAGGTAAGAGACAACAATGCAAGTGAACGGGGCCACCACGGAGGCCAGCCCTTCTGTCATGGCCACAACCTCATTGACAAAGGTGGGAGAGCAGGAGAGTTTGAGAACAGGGTTCACATCACAAAAAAAGTGCTGGATAACATTTGAGGCACAAAAGGTGAGCTGATTCATGAGGAGGACGTGCAGGAGGGAGTGCAGGTAGGAAAAGGTCACAGAGAAGGCTAGCAACAGGGCACAACACCTGTCGTTCATCACAGTGGCATAATGGAGGGGGTTACAAATGGCGACATAACGGTCAATGGCCATAGCTGCCAGAAGATAACTATCGATGTTGCCAAAGACCAAGAAGAAATACATCTGTGCCAGGCATTCCCCATAGGAGATGGTCTTTTTCTCCGATAATAAGTTCACCAACATCCTGGGGACAATGACGGTAGTGTAGCAAATATCAGCAAAAGACAAAACGCTTAGGAAGAAATACATAGGAGTTTGGAGTTGAGGATCAGAGTGGATAGCCAAGATGATGACTACGTTTCCCATCAGGGTGATCAGGTATATAATAAAAAAAGAGGACAAAGAGAGGTTTCTGGTCCTCGGACCTGGAGGAGAGTCCCAAGAGAATGAATTCAGAGAGTCTTGTCAGGTTGGACATTCCACAGGCTTATGTGTACCTGCAGAGCAAACATCGTCAGTGAGTGGTTCGTACAACATCTATAGCTTGCATCTTCCAGTCCTGGACTTTTGTGCTTGCTAGGCATATACTTGAGCTACTACCTCAGTCCTTTTGCCTTGTCTGTTTTTCAGATAGGATTCTGTGCTATCATTTTCCAGGTTGGCCCCAAACCGTGTTCTTCCTGTCTCTACCCCCCCCAAGTAATTGGTATTACATAGTAATGTTCCGTTAATAACTGCTCACAGTTAGGGTATGATAAGTTACTAATGGAGCATTTACTCTGACAATTACTTTTCTCCCTGAATATGGAATGATAAGATCTGCATTACTTCCTTTAAAATCTTCTAAGATCTTAGTAAGTTTGGCTTGCTCTAGCAAAAGATCACAGACAGGATAGCTGAAATAACAATCATTTATTACCGCTAAGGGCTAGTTTTTAGGCAGCAGCAGCAGAAGTCTCTGGGAAGAACACTACTGCTGCCCTGAGGATATTCATGATTTAATCACCTCCAAAATGTTCCTTCTCTAAGTACCGTCATGTGGAGGATGAGGGTTTTAACATGTGAATTTTGAAGAGACACAATCATTTAATCCATACCAAAATCTATAGAAGAGAGATACAAGGGAGAGAGTAAGAGGAAGGGAGTGAAAGAAAGAAGGGACTGATTCTCTTTTGTCCTCCTTGTAGCTAATAACTGTAGGAACCATAGATATAGACAGTGAAACAGTTATAGGTCAGCTTCTGATGAAAGACTAACAGTTAATAATTCATATTAATAATAATGAGAAAGCTAACTCACTTAGATTGTAGTTGGTTTATCTATCTATCTATCTATCTATCTATCTATCTATCTATCTATCTATCTATCTATCGTGGTAGCATGGATCAAACTCAGGGCTTTGTGCATACATGCTCTGCCATTGAGCTACAGCTTTAAAATAAACTATTTTCTTTCTGTGTTATTTATAAGGGAAGAGAGAAAGTCATCTAAAGAACACTGACTTTAATATAAATAGCTGTTGAAAAGACTAGAGAAAGTGAGAGGGAGGGAATAAGCTTGTAAGAGAAACATTTCTACCAAACTTTCCTGCTCTTTGAAAATTCATATCCTAAAGTCAAAAGGGATAACTCTAAAATACAAATACAGAAAAAATATATTTAGAATGAATCTTAGTCAACTCACTTATTAGGTGCTGGTGATGACTAATTATATCTTGGAGATCAGATATTTCTACCTTCTTACCAGGAATTCTTAAAGTTGACTTCTTAACCTAGAAAGGTCACTGATGGCTGGTCTCACAAGTATCTGTCAAGAAATGGCATACAGGAAGACTCCTTGATGTGTGAAATCTCCTAATTCTTGAGCATGACTGTTTTTCTTACCATCATCCCCAGAGGGTAGATATCACAACTGTTGCCTCTCTCCTGGTATTCTCTTCTGGCACTGGGGCCACTAAGTCTCTGATGTGTGGTTAGGGAGAGACTAAAACTAGTCATTCATTAATTGTGTGCAGAATTGCCTCAAAGAACCCAGAGGAACTACAAGTGTTCTTCCCCAAGCAGACCCAGGCTTCTCTCTTTTATCTGCATATAGCTAATGGTCTTTTGATTAGGACTCCAACTGCTTGGTTTTAGTGTGTGTGTGTGTGGGGGGGGTGGTGGTGGATTCTTTCCTAGCTATCCATCAGATGGAGGATTAACATCTAGAATGTACAGAGAACCAAAAATAAACACTGAGAGCCACATGCAGTTCAGTTAAGAAATGTTAAAGTGAATTGAGAAGTAAAAATGACCCATAAATACACGAAGAAAAATCCATCATCCTTATCCATAAAGAAACACAAACAAAATGACATTGAGAATCCATCTCACCCCAATCAGAACATCAACTTTCAAGCCACCAAACACCAGCAGTTGTTGGTGAGAATGCAGAGCAGGGGAGGGGAAGGAACCCTTGCACACATTGGCAGGCATGTGAATTAGTGCAGCCACTCTGAAAAAAAGCATGGAAATTACACAGATTATTAAAAATAGATATGATCCTGCTATGCCACTCTTTGACATATATCCAAAGGAATGTAAGCCAACATGTAATAGAAATACCCTCACACCCTTCTTGATGGGATGAGTTCTTAAACCAGTGAATGGATAAAGAGACTGTGGTACATACTAGTGTGTTGTTCACCATAAGGAATGAATTGTATTTGACTGGAGATCAGAGTGTTAAGCAAAATAACACAGACCAAGAAAACAAACTAGTGCATGTTTTCTGATAAACATAATCCAGACGTAAATATGTGTGTGTGGCATCAGTGTAAAGTGGTCACTGTTTGGGTATGGGAACCAGTGAGAGGGTGAAGTGGGAGAACATGATTAAAGTATTTTATGCATGCATGTATAAAATAGAATAATATGTGAACTGTATAAAAAGGGGAATAAGAAAGAGTAATAGAATGATCATAGTATATTATATGCATGTATGGAAATATCACACACACACACACACCACAACAAAATATATAAGCCCCAAATTCTATACCTAACAATTATTTCTGAACACCATATGTGAGAATACAAATTGAAAAATAATACATAGAGGAATAAGTTTTTTAGTCTACTTGAAATAAGTAGGCTCCTAAATCAATGAGGGCTCTCTTCCCATACTACAGAAGACTGTCTAGAACGTGAGTGGCTTGTGTACTTACACCTCAATGAAAACCCTGCCTCCTTCACAGGAATCAAGTCCTTCAGGAGTAACTAAGATAAATATGAAGTTGGAGAAAGGCGTTTTGATAACTTTGATTCCAGCCATAGAAATTCTTAAAAACGTAAGCTTGGATTTGTTGCTTAGTATGCACAAAATCTTGGGTTTGATTCCCAACACTGCTACAATGTAACAAAACAGAAACAGAGTTAAGTCTTAAATACTTACAGTAGTTTTACAGAGAACCTCTGTGTAGTACTGTTGACTGATCCCTACAGTGATGACTCTTCTATGCCATTTGCTGTATGTCTGATTGTGTTCTAAGCACCTTATGGAAACCTTTTTAAGAGTAATAATATTATGAAGAGCGATTATCCTTTTCCCCATACAAAAACTGAGATGTATAAGATACTTTTTTTCCCAAGATTGTAAAGTTGGTAAGTATTAGATCTGGGATTACAACCTCAGGCCCAATTAGTAAAAAAAAAAAAACACAAACCAAAAAAACACCTACCAATACTGTCTCTTTTTTTTGGATCCAGTTGTGGGCCTGAACTCTGGGCCTGGCGCTGTCCCTCAGCTCTTCAGCTCAAGGCTAGTGCTCTACCACTTGAGCCACAGCGCCACTTCCAGCTTGTTTTTTTCTGCTTATGTGGTGCTGAGGAATCGAACCCAGGGCCTCATGCATGCAAAGAAAGCGCTCTACCACTGAGCAACCTTCCCAGCCCCCCCAATACTGTCTTTTATGCTACTAACCCAACCCTTCATTGTGAATCTGAACAAAGCATGTTATATATACATATGCACATATATGTTAATGCTTTATATATATGTATATATCATGGCATCTAGCACATGTTAATGCTTAATATATCATCTCTTATTTTATAGTATTCATCAGCTCCTATTCCTCAGAGATTGTCCTGTTCTTCAGGAAAGTGTCCATCTTTGAATTTTAAAATTCTTAACCAGTTGTACAAAGGGGTTTCAATTTAACATATCAATTCATGTGTACAGTGCATCTTGATCAATGTCATCTCTTCCATCTTTCTCCCATACTCTCAAGTTATTGAGTTCCATTTTCATACCTGTATATCCAGTAGGATATACCCTCTCTCCATTTGCTAACCGCTCTTTGCTCATATTTCAGCGTCCTGGTTTTCATTTTGTTACACGGGCTGTTACTTGTTCAAAAGGGATGCACAATGACAACCCACCTCATGTGTACCATGCTTTAGTCAGTTTCAGTGTGTAAATATGCATATGACCCTGTCTGTGCGTTCACATATGACTATATTTTAGGTCTAGCTCCCACATACGGAGAAAACAAGCACCCTTTCCTTCTCTCAGCCTCATTTACTTCACTCAGCATAATTTTTCTAAGTCCATCCATTTCCCTGAAAATGAAATTATACTGTTCTTCCTAATGGATCAATAAAATTCCCTATCTATCTATCTATCTATCTATCTATCTATCTATCTATCTATCTATCTATCTATCTATCTATTATCTATCATCTGACTGTCTGTCTGTCTATCTATCCTATCATCTGCCATCTAGTTGACTTTCTAAACAGAACTTTCCAGAGTCTAAGATAGTTCTTGCTATCAGAGAGCACAGCACGGATCTGAGTCCTGGCCTCTCCTCACTTAAGTTGTCTGAGCACTGCACCTACTTTGTCTCATGAACAATGCTAGAATTAAAGTACTTTGTGGGTAGGCAAGTGAAGAGAGGAAGGGGAAGGAAAATATAGTCATAAAATTTAATGCAGAATTAAGAAAATTGAGGGGAGGGTTAGGATTGGGAAAGATGAGGAAAATGATGGAAGGGGTGACATAGATTAAGAAGCATTGTATTCATAAACTGATCTGTTGAATTCTAACTTCTTTGTACAACTACTTAAAGATAGTAAAAAAAAAACCCTGTTTTAATAGATTTATTATGGCTTAAGCACAACTATGTTCTTCAACAAAAAGAAAAGAAATTAGACTTTGAAACAAAAACACTAAAATAATGTGTGGAACCAGAGCATCTTAGCATTTTTCCCTCTTTAGTATTTTTTTTATTATCTTCAAATAGTTGTAAAAGGAAGGTTCAACTTAACAGTTCTGCTTATATGTACAATGTATCTTGATCTTTATTATTTTTGAAATGTACCTATTTGTCTTTTATAAGTAATTAACTAAATAAAAGTTGCTGATTTAGAAAAATAGTCTTAAATGTACATGGTTTTATAAATAATAAATAAAATATGCTTACTGTAAAAAAGT